ACCTCGTGCGAATCTCAAGGTGACTAGAGTGGTCAACAGGGGACAGTTATCAAACCCACCGCTAAAAGAACACGGCTGCAATGCATGCTGGCTTGACGGTGATGTTTGTGCGTGGCGGCATGGTTGGGGATGCTCAGCCACAAGCCTTATTAGGTGAGCTTATGTTCAAAGTGTTGGGGGTCAAGGGTCTGAGAAAGGTGTAGTTTTTTTAGGAAGCTATTCTGCAGGCAGGAGGGTGCCTGGAACTAAGCTATGGGAGCTGCCAAGGCACAGGCCACCTGGCAACAGGTGAATGGCACTGAGTGAATGCCCTGGAAGCCCCAGGTGAATACCGCCAACACAAAGCAGCGAGGCTTTGGTAACCAGGCAATCCAGATGGGGCCTAGTGCAACCTGACTCGGCGGTTTTAGGAGTGCCATCCTTCCATCCAGCGTTCCGTCGCCCTTCGAAAGTAGGGCCAAATCATCCCACCCAACCCATCACAGTGGCTACCTTGTTGCCTTTTTGAACATGGTCCTTTTGCTTCAATCACATGTGGCGGCCGTTTCCGACATCCACATTTGACAATTCCTCGTAACTAGCGTCTATTGAAAGCTGTCCTCAAACCTTGCGCAACCTTGTGCGTCCCAGTACAAAACGCCTCGACGGTGTCCCCGGCCGACACACAGTCCATCAATTTTCTGGCTCTGGCGCCTACGTCGTCCCTCCCCACATCGCGACAAGATACGAGGCCGGCTGCTCGAACATCCAGCTACTGGGCCTATAGAGAGTCAGATAGCTGGGACTCTCCTGCTGATCAGCTCGCCACTGCCACGATATCACCTTGTTGTGAAGATCATGAATTCTTGGGCATCCACAGATTGCCGTGGCACGCCCGGGGGTTGAATTCAAATTACCGCAGCGAGAGCCGTGCTCCCATGGGACGAACAGCCTTGGTCCTGATGCGCCAATACTGACCGAGGATATGCAACGCGCACCGCCACCCTTTGCAACCCACGGCCATCACAGGCGATGTCCGAAGGAGGGGCCGCATCAACCGGGTTCGGTGGCTAGGTGGGGGTACGACCGGTAGTCGTTGTCTCCACCCGGAAGGGTCGATGGATCCCACCTCGGAGCTGCAGCGTGGGGGTTGAGCTTAACGCTGGACAACTTGGCTCGGCCGAATCGCGACCTGCCCGGGTATCAAGCGATTTTTGTTGTGTCGATGTAGCAGTATGGTTACACCTCCTAAATATGCTACTAAATGCACTGAATGAGAATATGAATTCCTCATCTGATGGAGTCTTGCAAATATTGTGCCAAGAAATATGCCAATCTGCGTCTGGAACAAACACTCCTAGTGATCACCAACGTCGCAACGAGGCAACGCATATCACCCGGGGGGCGTAGGAGGGAACTTTGACATTATAAGCAAACCGCTGCGTGTTGCCCTATCAAACGATGAACAATTTGCTGACTGTTCAGCTGATTCCTGTCGCGCCGCTCACCCGGTTGAACAAGACGTTTTTGTCCACAAGTGTCAGGACCCCTGCGGAGCCACCAAGGGCCTGCCAAGCTAGGGGAGCTGGCCAGGGGCTAAGGGTCACGAGAGAACGTATATATAGGCTGCAGAGGGCCCCCCAAGCTGCGGAGGGCCAGTATTTAGATGTATTCCTATCCCATACCCATATTCTAACTACCTGCGGACCCTGTGGAGGACCCCTTCACTCTGCTCTAAATAACGCTCTGACAACAAGTCACGTCCAAAACATAGATCTTGCGGCGCTCTCTCCGCAGGCTTGTCGAAGAATATCCATGGTTGCTGTATTGAAGCAGCCCATGACGGCAACTTGAAGACTGTTGTTGATCAATCAGCTGAGGGTATCCTACGAACCACTGGGCCCTTGCCGGCGCCATTCATACCACAATTCACGACCTCTGCATCCATCGCAGAAATTGAGTATCCCAACGGTGACTGGACAGCATGGTCACAGGTCATTGCAGACCATCTGATCAAGTAAGTCTGCATCACTGAAATAACACGTATAATATGCGAGTCGTCAGCCAAACGAAGGAGTCCGGACCCAATCGTTGCACCTTGCAGGGATCTAGTCCTTCTACCCGGCATCCTTTTTCTTCTTCTACCAATGTCATGTATAAACCTTACTACATTGGCTTAGTTCTCTGGCTGGGGGGTATAGCGCGACCTATGGGGTCTTCCAACTATGCTACACCTGCCCAAAGCTCAGTCCTCATAGGTTAGCTCGCTGCAAGTCTCCCTCTGCTTCGCTTTGTGCACCATCTCTGAGCGTCTATCTGATGCCGAGTATGACCGTCACACCCTCTTCGTTGGATCACTGCTTGCCGTTCTCGGCAGCTTCATGACGAGCCTCGCAGAGCCTGTGCGCCGGCTTAGGTCTCGGCTTGATGTTCACGCCATTGGTGGCTATCATAAGCTCCTACTTCAGAAGAAAGAGGTCGTGGCCCTGGGCAATAAATTAACGGCTCTGCACGAATCGCCATCGGCTTCGACCCCATCACATACATCAATCTTCTACTAATACAAACGCTACAGGGAGGCCCGTGCGCCCACTTGTTGGATGGCTAGCGGACACGCGGATCCGGCCGCTCAACATGTTTGTCGTCGGCCAGGTCTGCGTCGGCGGTATGCTTTATGCCTGAATAAGCGTCCACGACCGAGCCGGCATGTACGCCTTCTCCGTTGTATACAGCCTCATTATTGGCGCTTCGCAGGGCGTTTTCGACGGATCACTGGCGATCCCGACGAAAGATCCAAGTAAGATGGGGACCCGATTCGGCATGGTGTGCACGTTGTTGGGCTTTGCACCTTTAGCAGGGCCGCCTACCGCTGGTGCGATCATTGATCACTTCTGGAGAGAGTATCTGTTGGCTCAGATCTGGGGTGGGACAGACATATTTCTAGCTACAATCATAGTCATAACGGCCAGGTGGTGGGTGACTGGGTGCAAACTGATCGTCAAAGCTTGGTGTTGCCTTCGTCGTACGTCGAGGGCATAGGGCCAGACAATGCATGGAAGCGTACTCTGCAGAATTCGCTCTGTGATCAAATAAATAAAGTCATTTTTGTTTCTTTTCAACTTTGAAACACAACTAGCGGGTTTCGATAGTGGTGGTAACAGTGGGGGACTGGGTGGCATCGTGATTTGATCTAGCCCCCGCCATGGCGGTTCGTCATGAACACTGCTGTGAGGGGGAGAAAACAAGAAGACAGTGCCAAACAAAAAGATATTGAAACCGAATGCTATGTGATATGTTCACGACAGGATCCTCGCCGCATAAAAGGTTGCGAAGTCGTGGTTTTATCCCAGGCAGCATCATGATCGTTTCGTTCCTGGTGATCAGGGGCTTGAGCAGGTATTGTACAGCATGATATTTGTCATGAGATAAGTACGCTGTCGACTTCCTAGAAAGTAATCAAAGGGTTGGTGGGCTCTCTATAGGCATGGATATTCCTGAAGGTGATATAAGGCGAAGATGGAGTGATTGGCATGGCAGGTCTCCCAAGGCAAGGAGCCTGACTTGTGAGAGGGGTGCAGAAGGTGAGGTCTCATGTTACCTTAGTAAGCGTGGACCTACCCCTGTTCATGCGCCAAACGTCCCGACGCTTGGCGCTAGGTACCTGAGTATGGCGGGTGGGCAGCCTCCACGATCGGTCGAGGTTGTTCAACGAGCCGAAACTGGAGCTTCGATCTGAAATTCCCTTCCCTTCAGTCTACCAACCTTGGCATTTCCGTATTCCCGCCTTGTCAATACAGTCAGCTCTCAACGCCACAGCTAGCGATCGTATAGACAACACCCTGAACACGACACGAGACCAAAGTGGACAGCAGAAGCCTACGAACCACCCCCAAAGCCACCATCATGTCAACAATAACCCCCGAAGCACTGGAATCGGGCCAGTCGCCCGTCATTCCCCTCTCCTTCAATGCGAATCAACCAAGTACGATTCGACTCTACCCACTCAGCAACTACACCTTTGGCGTCAAGGAGACGCAGCCAGAGGAGGACCCGTCGGTCCTCGCCCGCCTCAAGCGCCTCGAGGAGCATTACACCCAATATGGCATGCGCCGCACCTGCGAGGGCATCCTCGTTTGCCACGAACACAACCACCCCCACATTCTCATGTTGCAGATTGCGAACGCCTTCTTCAAGCTCCCCGGCGACTATCTGCGCCCCGAAGACGACGAGAGCGAAGGCTTCAAAGCGCGCCTGGACGAGCGCCTCGCCCCTGTCGGCCGCATCGGCGAAGGCGAGGAAAAGGGCGACTGGCAGCTCGGCGACTGTCTCGCACAGTGGTGGCGACCAAACTTCGAGACGTTCATGTACCCCTTCATCCCGGCACACGTCACGAGGCCGAAAGAGTGCAAGAAGCTGTACTTTATCCAGCTACCCAAGAGCAGTATGTGCCCTCTCCCGTGTGACCCTTGAGTTCGACACCATGCATCGAGTTCGGTTCGCTGACTGTTTCTCTCCCTTTGTAGAAGTCCTCAGCGTTCCCAAGAATATGAAGCTTCTTGCCGTTCCTCTCTTCGAGCTCTACGATAATACGGCACGCTACGGCCCGCAGCTGTCCGCGATCCCCCATCTCCTCAGCAGATACAACTTTGAGTTCGTCGACGAAGACGGAAAGGTCGTTGCCATGACTCCCGGCACCGGTCCCCCGGATGGCTATGTCCCGACAACCAAGGTGCTGGCGGGCGACGACACAGAGATGGCAGAAGAGGTGAAGGAGGAGAACGGCACAAGCTAGAAGAACAGTTTCAATAGGCAGAACGGCAACGGTTGAGGCGACTGGAATCAGGCGTTTGGCGTGGAATATATCTGAGTGCACAAAAGCATAGCAGGACGTGCAATACCCCTGGGCTACCTGGGGAATACAAATTTTCATCCCCGCTTCATGGCGCCCTTCGCTACGGTGAAAGATCCAGACCGGTTTGGACTTCTTTCACACTACTCGCCACCTTACAACACCCATTGCTTTACGCCTTCTGGCCCTGGATTGTCGCCATGAGCCTCCGCTGGTGCTTCGAGGCGCGGAACTCGAGATACCAGATGCCCTGCCATGTGCCGGTTGCCTACGATAAGCGTCAGTCTACAAGTAGTCGAATTTTCCGTGCACGTCACTCACAAGCTTGCCGTCCTTGATGGGGATGGTCACGCTCGCACCGATCAGCGCACTCTTGATGTGGGCCTGCGACAAGTCAGCAAAGTCCTTCAAAAAGATCTCCCAGACCAGAGACTCACCGGCATGTCGTCCGGGCCCTCGTCGTCGTGGCGATACAGCGCCTCGCCCTTGGGCCCCGCCTCGGGCGCGATGCGGTCCAGCGCATCGCTCATGTCGGCCCGGACGTCGCTGTCCCAGTTCTCATTAAGGCTGAGGGCGCAGCTTGTGTGTTGCACGAACAGGTGCAGGATGCCGACCTTGAAGTCTTTGATCTCGGGCACCGCCTTGAGGACGTCGTCCGTGATGAGATAGGACCCGCGCGACTTGGCGGGGAGGGAGAACTGCTTCTGCGCCCAAGCGGTGGCCATGGTGGGCGTGGATGGCGGGGTATGACGTGCTGCGCTGGGAATACGCGAGTCTGGCGACAGGATGCCGAGGAACGTGAACGGGAAAGTCCAGAGGTAGTGAAACCAGCCAGGGACAAGACAGACAAGGAACAGCACGAAGAGAAGAAATGTTGTTTTCGAGATCTGGTGGTTGTCGATTGAGGAGCGCATATTTGGTGTTGAGCTAGAATGATGTAAGAATTGAAAGGTGGGGCATCTTGAATATCAGAACAACGTCCCATGCATTGCGTTGCACAGTCATCGGAGTTCGACGGGCCAGATAACTCAAGGAATTCAAGGGTAGTCCACTTTCATAAGATGGAAAAAACAGGTTCGTCATGCAAGCTATCATGCTCTGGCGCACAGGTGGAATGCTTGTACCATCGCACATAACCTAATCACACGACCGTCTTCAACGTCACTGATCCGGCAGCTTCAGACACTGTGACGCATCTTGGTCGACCGGGGTTCTCAGAGCACCTGTAAACTTGCCCATCATGCTTCGACAGACGTTCAGATCAGCTGTAGACGTCCCCTCCATATGCTACAAGCTTGGTGCGAAAGCTTCACCGGGGTCTACTCGGTTCAAGCTTTCCATATTCCCGAGCGTCCAGCTAATCTGTGTTGAGAGAGGATTGCTTGAACAGATGGAAGTTCCGACATTCATCTACATCGTAGCAGACTGACCAAGTCGTAACCACTGGCTGGTTCGGACTTGACAACGTAGGGGTTGGCAGTGGACGATTGAAACCATAACTTTGATTTATGTACACAATTGCAACACGATTCTATCGCAACCACTCCTCTGACCAACCAAATCTCTAATTGGACTCCAGTCCCACGTGCCGCACGCTTCTTTCATGCGAGGGGGTAGGCGGTTTCGGGAAGAGACTCGAGGTGCTTGCGGTTGTGCTCATTGGCCTAGGCATATCGTCAGCAATCAGAATCACAGTAGGCCACCGGGCTACGTCGCGGCAGGGAAATGGAAAGGCTCACATATGGCAAGCCGCAGTAGGTGCACGAGGCAATCTCAGGCTTGTCGGTGTTGATGAACACCCGCGGGTGGCCAGCGGGGCCGCCGCCACCATCGCACGCGACAATGCGGCTGTGCGTCCACCTCACGGGCTCCTCGTGAATAAAGGACATGGCGGACTCGGGTTGAGGCTGGTGCACAACGTCAGTACGTCGTGTATGTGACAATGGATCGTGTCGAGCCGTGTTTTACCTGGAGGTCAAAGTTGGACTGTTCGAACCTTGGGCCGGTCATGGCCTCGGCCCTGGGCTTCTGGCTGCGGGACCAGATACCAACACGGTTGGGCGCCTGCTGGACGTCCCTGGGGACAGCATTGTCGGCTGTCTGAGGGGTGCTGGCCTCGTTCTTCTCGGTGACAGAGACGGTCTCGGTTGTTCGGGCCGTAGCGGAAACGGAGAAGGGGCGGTATAGGGTGCGCAGCTGGCGCGAGAGCTGGGTGGTCGCCCGCCTGGAAGCCGGGAGGAGCATTGCGTCAATTGAATGTGTGGTCGACCTGGGAGTAGAAAGATGTCGTCGTCACCCTCGCGGCGGTTGCGGTCGCTCGAGTTCGTGATCTTGGAGCTTGGAAGGTCTTCGATCAATTGGAATGGCTGCACTGTCATTGGTTCGGAATAACTGCGGCCAGGCCTGTTCACATTGGCTCGTGCGTCAGGGCGGTCTGGTCGCATGCACTTGGATCTTGCGGCAGAATTATTTTGTCGGCCCAAGGTCCCGCTCTAGTAGTTGCAGGTTATTGTTTATCACAACCAAGCAATTCTGTCTCTCGAAGAGGAGAAGCCAAAGGCGCCCACTACGGAACATCTAAGGCGACAAAGAACTCCCACGACCCATTCCCAGAGGTACCCTGCAAAGGGACGGATCCTGACACACCTGTGAGCCTTCACGACTGCACACCACGAGGGCATCCCCGACATCAAACATCCTCCATCCCGCCATGGCGCCCAGGGATGTGGCGCCCGAGACGCCCCCCAGCCGGGGCATCTCTTCTCGTTTGCTCACGATGAAGTTTATGCAGCGTGCTGCCGCCACATCAGAAACGCCCACCACACCCGACGAACCCTCCGCGAAATCCGGAACCACATCCTCCTCCAAGCGCCGCCGCTTCGAGAACTCACCACTTACTGGCGACTACCATTCCTTTGACGAGGCCGCGATACAAGCTGCCCTCAAAGAGCAAGAGGCCACACGACAGGCTGCACTGAAGCTTCACAAGACGGAGCTGGCCGACACGAATTGGGTGCTCGACGGCTTCGGGAGCACCACGACCGCCGCGGCCCCCAGGGTTGTCGAGTACGTCGGCTTCTCAGAGATTGACGCCGGCGAAGAAGACGACACGCCAAACCGCGCACAGGCTGGAAGGAAGAGGATCGGCAACTACAAGACGCGTGAAGAGAAGGTTTGTCTCACGATTCGCTAGCAGCCTCCGGGACCGCCTCGCCTGCTTCCGCGGACGATGCATATGTGCTAACTCACCCTCGCAGCAGACGAAAGAAGACGCCTCATCGGATGAGGACAGTGACTCGAGTGACGAATTCTCAGACGACGGCCGCGACAGGCGGGCCTCTAAGACCTCGACACCACACAGGGACGGCCCCCGGAGGCAGAGCAGCGTTCACCGCAGGGAGTCTGCTGGCGCAGCCAAGGCCAAGGAGCTCAGGGACAAGCGCAAGAATCAAAAGGTCAACCTCAACAACATCAGCTCAGTTTCGGGCAACGCAAGGTCGGGCCCCATCACGTCCATCTCAGGGGGCGGCGGCGGCGGCGCGGGGAGCAGGTCCGGTCAATTTAGCTGCCACTCATGCGGCAAGACGGGGCACAAGGCCGTTGACTGTCCCAGCAGACGCAACGGTGGCGATAAGCGTCGATCCTATGGACGAGGGTCCTGATGCTGGGGTACCCCTTTCGTGCAGCGCCGTGTCGGCATCAATAGATGGGCTCTAGAACCATGTGAGTAAACAATGGTGAATAGGCGGCCAACCCGTCCACATCCGCGTTTTGGATCAGGAAGGTCCATCAGCCCGGCGTGGGTCGATTTCATAAATATATTGGTGTCCTGCGAGTCATCGCGGCTAATGAAGTAGCCTCGCCACATGTCGATGCTACAGTTTTCGAGTCAGGCCTCATGCACGTAACATACTCGCAGCTCCTGACAGCCCCAGAAGTACAGACACTTCGGTAGACAAATAAAGATACCCCTTGTAACCACAAGAATACTCGTGCTGTTTTCTGATGTGACGCCGGGATCCTTCCAGACATGACTCCCAAACGGGAACGCAATTAATATGAAGACGCCATTTTGAGCATCAACACCTTGTCAATATGTTACAGAAACAAAATGGAAGGTCCGAGAGAAACTTGCATAATGCTAAGAATACTCACATGGCGGGCGCAGTACTTCTACAACTGCGCGCCAGCACGCTGTTGCTTGGCTGGCACAGTCTCTATCTACATCAAACTGTCTTGCCCCAAACATGATTCGACCACGCCGGACGACGGTTCATTCCAGAGAACCATGACCTTGCAACTGCAGTACTTTAGAAAGAAAAAGAAAAACTCTCCGGAATGTCTCGACACATGTATGCAGACAGACAGAGGCTTGTCCAAGGCGGGGGGTGGAAACGGGCTATTTGAGTTCTGTCAGTCCATTGGGTGAGGGTGCTGCCATGTCGAGCAGCAAGACACGAGCTTTGCCACTTTACCTCAAGGTACCTCCTTGTGCCTTGATATCCGAAACCCCAGATCACAAGCGGTCGATCAAAGACGGGACGGCCCAGTGGCCAACACCCCCAACGCAGGTAACCCTGCCAAGAAACGGCCGGGTGTGCCGGGCCAACTGGCATGAATGACGAACGACTTGTGGTGTTGCGCAGCACACACAACTCGGGGCGCGCCAACGTCGCAACAGCGTCGCAACAGCGTCAGGTCTGTTGCCTGTCGAAGGACCTGTCAAAAAGGAGCATTATCCAGGATCATCCCGAGTACCAGGGATGATTTCGCCTGTGGAAGCGAACCTTGACCATGGAAAGCCCCAGCGTCGATTGACGCGACTCATGCTCGCCGCGCTCCTCGGGCAGAGGAGAGAAGACTGTTGAACCCATGCAGCCAACCACTCTCGTTACTCCTGCTGCTGTGGCACTAGGGAGTCATACCTGTGGCAATTACAGAACTCATCGTCGTGTGACTGCCTCGGTCTCCCGAGGTACGCAGCTGTACACGCGCTGTGGTAGGCAGGTCACTTACATCAATGGATAATACTTCGGAGCCGAAAAAATGGTCGGTTCGATAGAATTTGAGATTCACAGTGGACTCGGAAAAGGGAAGGGGGAGGGGGTGCTCAACTTGCTCCGTGGTCCGGCGATGATCTAAAGCCGCTGGCTTCGGGGCTGGAACTCTCTTCGGCATGAAGAGACGATGCGACAGTATGGAGTGGCTTGGGGCTTGGGAGCAGCTAGTACGACCACCTTGACGCACGGGTCGCAGGGCCGTGGCATCATGTGCGCGTCCTCTGCCATGCCGTGCATGTTGCATCGCACGTCACTCCGATGTACCGAGGACAAGGTGAATTGGGCCGCCGGCAGATGAGGTGCGCCGGCACAGTCTCCCGGCCCGGCAAGCGGGAGGGGGTGAGAACGAAGGTGCAGCGTCGATCCAGTCGCTTGGCTTATTATAAGCACCGGGTGGTCCTACATGAGTTACCCAGTGAGGATGTACAGCACGTGTTCCACACTCCTTGTAGCGACAACATGTGTCTGTGTGCAAGTGGCGGAGCGGAAGGATGCATAGGAAGAGGTTACCGATACCTACCTCATCGAGCCTTCATGTCGAACCGCCCTGCGTGGCTGACGAGTGGCGAGCGAAGCAGGGCGAACCGCGGTCAGGGCACGGTAAAGGCATGGCAGCCAACCAAAACTTCCCACGGCATACGTATATTTTGGTAACCTCTGAGCCGCATATCACCAGCAGCCCACCTGCCGTCATGCAACAGGCTAGACTGCGCTATATAGAAGGCTCTACATGTAGGTAGAACAAGCAATAAAGAATGCCGGGGGTACGACTCGGGAACGTCGGCCGCGATTGAGCTGAACATGTTACGGTGACATCATGCCAGACTGTCATTTGAGATTGCCAAGGATTGAGTGAAGACCGGGCTTCGACTATTGTTCCGGACTCCGTTTGGCCTTTGCTCCAAGGCCTCCAATCGATTCCTATCAGGTTCGGTGCCGTCCTAGGGCCGGCAACTGTCCGCAGAAAAGGATGTCCCTAGCGGCTGGGGGCGGGCTAAGATTACGTGCGGACGTGGTGCAACATCATCATCTCCTCGACCGGCCATACAAAGACCACAGGGAGGTACTTTGGGTACCTTTCTTTCTCCCCATCATGATACGAGCCGGGGAGACCTGGTCCCATTGCCCCAGACAAAGCTCCAAGCGAGCCGAGATGTGCGTTTTGAAGCTGGGCGATCACGGCAAGCGGATTGGATCAGTCGAAGCGGAAAATGTACCGAGCTTCTAGAAGATGACTCGAGTAAGCAGCATGGCCCACCGCAGGCGAAGAAGCCCGAACATAGGCGGAAAGTTGCCTCTTTTGCGGAGAGAAAGTGACCTGGAGCAAGACCGGGTCCTCATGTTTCCACGCCTCCGCCTTCCTACTTTGTGATATTGCCCCGAGCCGGCTTGCTTGGTGTCCTGATCGTCGAGTGATTGCCTTCGGCTCCGATTGCCGGGAGCGCACCCAGTGAAAAGCGGACAATCTGGCTCATGACCTCTATCTTCCGTTCCAGAAATCCCAGAACGTGGCAAAGGGGAGGGGAGGCGTTCTTCGGGGCCCGCTAAAGCATGACGACGATTGCTAGCAGGCATGCGTACCCGAGGGAGCCTGGGCTAGTTGGTAGCGTCTGCACCAACACGGTCAAAGGTCATCTGCATCGCTTGCGCCTGTATCGACAAGGGGACATGCGGCATTCAAGACCGGTTCCTGGAGTATCAAGACGTGACGATGGCGGCATGCGACGCAAGAGCACCCCATGCTCCGACGCCGGTTTGCGCTGATACGCTTGCGAAATGACCACATCTCGGTCTGGGAAATGCCCAGCTATCTCACATGACTGCCGAGGGATGGTCAAGGATAGGTTTTGGGCTTCTTTTGGGTTGGGAGACCGACTTGGCTCAACAGCCTGGCTTCTTGGTCGGTGGTCAAGGCTTCCATAGGGCTTGCTCATTGGTGGCTTCGGGCTTGCCTCAGCCTCGGGGCCCTCAAGCCGAATCAGACATTGCCAAGATGTTTCCTCCAATTTGTTTCATGCAGTCGCCTTGCATGGGTCATGACGGCAGCCTCCATAGTGACAGGGTTGCGAAACATTGCGAGATGTATGGCAGATGAATCTGATGCGGACGAGAGGATGCGCCTGCTGGGGCTCTTAGACTTATGTGGTTGGGGAACTGCAACAGTAGTTCCGACCGTGGCGGCCCATGGAGTAGAAGCAGAATCCAAGGAAGGCAGAATGCTCTCGGGTCGAATGAATTGACACCTTGAATGCAGCTGACCCCCAAGATGGCCACCAAGGGTCTGAATGATCTTAGGTGCTACCAGATATGAATCTGTCTGGCCTGGATACGGTGAGTGGATTCGTATAGTACCATGCCTTCGGGACAGGACGATGCACGTTGGTGCCAATTTTGTCGTTGTTGGTAACCCAACCAGAGGAGTTGGACGGCGGACGCTATGTTCATAATGCATCGGCAGACTCATGTGCCCTGTACGTGATGCTATGACTCTTTGGTCGAATCGGACCCCATCTCGAGCTGCAATAGATCCATTGAGAAACCATGCCGTTGGTAGGGTCAGCGGGACTGAAGATATTGTTTATGAGTGGACAGCGTGGTCGGCCAACCCAGAAAGGTGATGAAAGCTCGTTCGATTTGGCTATGGTAGCCCCGCTGGGATACGCCTCTCCCCTCTTTGGCCTACCAACCAGTCGCCTGCTTGGCCAGTGCTGTCTGGAATTGAGTCAAGCCAGACAGTCACGTTGCTGGCCACGAAAGCTTTCTCTCACCTGGCCATACCGCCGTCTTGGCGCGTGAATGGGGCCAGAGGGGGACAACAACAAAACTCGATGGCGGTGGTCAAGGCGTGTGACAGTCGGATGGCCTATCCATGCTTGCGTAGGCCCGGTCGTACCGCAAGTGGCCTTCAAGGTGGCGGGTAAGTCACCTCCGCAATCCGGGCCGTCGATATATCCTTGATCCCTCCCTCTTCCTACCTTGCTGCTTGCCTCTGGTTTTGTGCGCTCAACTGCGGCCTGCAACAGCAGGGACCCGGCTGACGAAAGAGGACCTTGAAATCTCCCCTGACCAATGAGTTTCAGATCAACTTACCTGTCCTAGGAGGATATCCACCACTCGCCAAGAGAGCAAGATTGTTAAATCGAGGCTGACGGTGATTGATGGGCACTTTCTGTCTGATGCTACGCCAGAATGCCTGTCTGGCAATGTGTAACACGATGCTGCGGGTCTTCCCGCAAAGGCCTGTGTGCCGTGCCCTCCCTTACCGTTTCGAGTGGGTAATTTCTTTTGCTTCGCGAACAAAGACTGTTTTCTGCGCTTTCATGTGGGCATTTGGATTGTCGAGCACCAATGTGGCTGCATCCGAGAGAGCACACCATCCAAGCATCTCTTGTGTCAAGCATCTCTTGTGTGAAGGGACGAAGTTATCACGTATAATCGCTGAGTGCATCAGGGGCCGGAAATTCAATCATGGACAGGCGAACTAGCCATTGAGAGTTGCGATTCGAAGCTTTTGTGACGAAGGAAGGTGGTAGGAGGCACAAACGGTCGAACAAGGCCACAACAACTCCCTGGAACAGAGAAGAAGAGCCAAGAAGCTACTTCCTTCCTCATGAAAAGTTAACCATGAATGGTCATCCTCACTGGATGTACCAAGGTACCTACTTCAACAAGCCGACATCGCGTTTGCTCCGTCGTCGGACAAGGTAGATGGCGTATTGTCCTGCTCAGCGTTCCTCCCCATCCAGACGCACACCGCGGTCAGGTACCTATCTGGGCAGGTAAAGTACGAATGTGGTAGGTATATGACCACCCACATCTTGCTCTGAATCATTCGCATCGCGTCGACACATGCCAGCGTGTTTTGCCCCTCGCCGTCTCTTTCACTTCGTCAGAGTTGGGCATATGAAGTATTCTTATCTGCCTTGACTCAATCGCGTTCCCCCCCTCCCCTATCAGTCCTGAGTCGCGTCGGTGGCCCGCCTCGGCTCTTCCACCCACCAAGCTCGCCGCACCAAGCCCGGCATCCGAGTCACGCGTGTACCGCCAGCCAGACCGAAAGCGGTTTTTGCAATGCCCCAGCCTGACCTGCACACTGGGTCTACCACGCTTTGCCATCCGGCCGGTGTAGACAGGGACGCAGACCTCGTCAAAGTTGTTGAGAGAGACAAGGGCGCTGGCCAAAAGCCATCGCAGCGCACACCGCTTCCTCAGACGATCGTTGCTGAGTACATATACCTACTTACCTGTGTCGCACCTACCAAACAGCCGCTGTTCGACCCTGCAGCATATGCTCCGGCACCCTGCCTTGCTTCCCCGGTGCACACCAAGTGACCCAGTATCCAATCCGTCAAGTCGTCGCCGAAGGCGCAGGGACTATTGGGAAGAAGAGAAGGAACTAGAGGGAAGAGACCCTCCGCCCAGTCGACCACCGAAGAGCGACCCTGATCTGTTGGCCACGCTTCAACACAGAGAGTCTCCGTTTTTGGATCCCAACCCGTCGTTGATCTGAGTAGTACGGCGCCGGTGATACGGCGTCCCCACATGCTGCTAACCCACGCCTGCAACCCAGTCTATGTGGCACAAGCGTCAGCACCCGCATCTTGCCAGCGCGCGCGACCCCCTCCCCCCCTTCCACTCCCCAGGCCCCCAAGGTCCCCCAGCTCGTCGATGCTAAGGCAGCGAAAGGGTCCCAGGTCACCAATGCAGGTAGCCCAGGCCTCCACCAGACAGGGGCAGATCGGGTACATCCTTTACTCATTACCAGGACCGCCTGCTGTTGTCGTTCGGCTGGGCACGTTCCCTACGGTAGTGGAGCAAGCCCAGGGTGTCCAGGGAAGGGAAGACACGCAAAGGTACTCCAAGGTACCGCAACCACCTTACGTTCAAGGTTGGTACGGTCAGGACATAGGTTCCCCTACTCTTTCAAAAGTGGCGGCTCCCCCACCACCGAAAACCCACAGCAGCGATTGCCTTCCCCTCCAAGCTCGCCTACATACCTCTCCATACCTACCTACCTACCTAGGTCTTGCTCCTCCTGCTCTTACACCTCGATCTGCCTCCACCCCCCTCACTTTCCGTCCCCTCCACAGCCAGTCCTTTTCCCCTTCTCTTGCTCCAATCCGCTCAACCACGGCCGGGCATTGACCATTGGCCAGACCTGTATCCTGCTCCAGTACCGAGAGACCGGTTCGGCTGCAGCGTCTCGCTGACCATCGGACTTTTGGCACCTCACACCCTGCGCTAAAGGGAAACACGAGGAAACAGGTCACTGGCCAGATTGTCCGTGCCGCGCCCCCTCGACAAATACGATGACTTCGCGGGAGAGTAATACGGCGGTGCCTGTCCGTCGTGTGACAGACCAGCTCGAAACGCCTTCACTCGACGATCGGGACTATCGCGTCATCCGGCTGCCCAACGAGCTTGAGGCTTTGCTGGTCCATGACCCTGATACGGACAAGGCCAGCGCTGCGCTCGACTGCAATGTGGGCAACTTCAGCGACGAAACGGATATGCCTGGCATGGCGCATGCCGTGGAGCATGTAAGTGCATCGTACCTTGCGAGCAGTCTCCTCTGAGGTTACTGGGCTCTCATGCGAGTCGGACCCCCTGCCTTCTGATCATGTGCTAATGAGCCACGCCCTGCCAGCTTCTGTTCATGGGGACCAAGAAGTACCCCGTCGAGAACGAATACAGTCAATACCTCGCCAACAACTCTGGCAGCTCAAACGCATACACTGGGCCGACTTCGACCAACTACTTTTTCGAGATCTCGGCAAGGCCTGCAAACGACCTAGAACCCACAGATCAGAACCCGTCAGCGCTGAAAGGGGCACTGGATCGCTTCGCCCAATTCTTCATCGAGCCTCTCTTCCTCGAATCTACCCTGGACCGAGAGTTGCGAGCTGTTGACTCGGAGAACAAGAAGAACCTCCAGAGCGATCAATGGCGTCTGCATCAGTTAGAGAAGTCGACTTCAAACCCAAACCACCCTTATTGCCACTTTTCCACAGGAAACCTGGACGTCCTGAAGATTCAACCCGAAGCAAAAGGCATCAACGTGCGCGAGAAGTTTATGGAGTTCCACGACAAGCATTATTCGGCCAACCGCATGAAGTTGGTTGTTTTAGGCAGGGAATCTCTCGATGTTCTGGAAGGCTGGGTGTCGGAGTTCTTTGCCGGCGTGTCGAACAAGAATCTCCCCCAGAACCGCTGGGAGAGCGAGGCGCCCTTCAGGAAGAGCGAGCTTGGCATCCAGATCTTCGCCAAGCCTGTCATGGATTCGAGAGAGCTCAATCTCTATTTCCCCTTTATGGACGAGGAACGCATGTACGAATCGCAGCCCAGCAGATACCTCAGTCACTTGATTGGCCACGAGGGTCCTGGCAGCATCATGGCTTACGTCAAGTCAAAGGGTTGGGCGAACGGTTTGAGCGCCGGGACCTATCCCGTATGTCCCGGAACTGGTGGCATCTTTGACTGCCAGATTCGGCTGACCGAAGAGGTGGGTGCAGTAAGAAACCTTGCCCTTCACATTCCTGGCTAACTGTATCGTTCCCAGGGCCTCAAGAACTACCAGGAGATCACGAAAATCTTCTTCCAGTACGTCTCGCTGCTGCAGGAGACCTCGCCTCAGGAGTGGATCTTTGATGAGCAGAAAGGCTTGGCCGATGTCGACTTCAAGTTCAAGCAGAAAACGCCCGCCAGCAGATTTACGAGCAAAATCAGTTCGGTCATGCAAAAGCCTCTTCCACGCGAGTGGCTGCTGAGTGGGCACAGCAAGCTGAGGAAATTCGACCCCGAATTGATTCGAGAGGGACTGGCATGTCTGAGGCCCGACAACCTTCGTTTGACGATTGTGTCACGCAACTTTCCCGGTAACTGGGACCGCAAGGAGAAGTGGTACGGCACAGAGTACCGCTACGAGGACATTCCCGCCGACTTCCTTGCGGAAATAGAGAAGGCGGCGGCATCAGGCGCTAAGGACAGGTTGCCAGAGCTACACCTCCCGCACAAGAACAACTTCATCCCCACGAATCTCGAAGTCGAAAAGAAGGAAGTCAAGGAGCCAGCCCTTGCTCCCCGCATTGTTCGCAACGACCTTTTGGCACGGACCTGGTTCAAGAAGGATGACACCTTCTGGGTTCCCAAGGCCAACCTGGTCATCAGTTGCAGGAACCCCAACATCTATTCATCAGCCGAGAATGCCGTCAAGGCCAAGCTGTTCACTGACTTGGTCCGTGACGCCCTCGAGGAATACTCCTACGACGCCGAGCTCGCCGGCCTACAGTACAGTGTTGCACTTGATGGGCGCGGCATGTTTCTTGACCTTAGCGGTTACAATGATAAGCTGGCAGTGTTGCTGAAACAGGTTCTCGTCACCATCCGAGATGTCGAGATCAAGGATGCCCGGTTCGACATCATCAAGGAGCGTCTTCACCGGGGATACAACAACTGGGAGCTTCAGCAGCCGTTCAGCCAAGTGTCCGACTACACAACGTGGCTGAACTCAGAACGCGATTATGTCGTTGAGGAATATCTCGCCGAGCTCCCCAATATCAGCGCCGAGGACATTCGGCAGTTCAAGAAGCAGATGCTCGCGCAGATGCGCATCGAGGCCTACGTACACGGCAACATCTACAAGGAGGACGCCCTGAAGCTGACGGATATGGTCGAAACGATACTCAAGCCCCGCATCCTGCCGCAGACTCAGTGGCCAGTCACCCGCTCCTTAATCCTCCCTCCCGGATCCAACTTTGTGTACAAGAAGACGTTGAAGGACCCTGCCAACGTCAACCATTGTCTTGAGACTGTATTCTACGTTGGCGACAAGAGTGACTGGAATGTGCGGGCTAGAACACTTCTGCTCGACCAGATAGCCCACGAGCCTGCCTTCGACCAACTGCGTACGAAGGAGCAACTAGGCTACGTTGTTTTCAGCGGTGTTCGTAGCTTTTCAACCACATACGGATTCCGCTTTATCATCCAGAGCGAGCGTCCCTGCGACTACCTTGAATCAAGGATTGAGGCTTTCCTAAACCATCTGTCTACGATCATCGACGCTATGACCGATACGGAGTTTGAGGGTCACAAGCGGAGTCTCATCGTCAAGAGGCTTGAGAAAGTCAAGAACCTCGACCAAGAGAGCAGCCGGCACTGGACTCAGATTGCCAGCGAGTACTACACATTTGAACTCGGTATGAGATACAAGTTTTCCTCCCGATATGAGATTCATTACTAACGCGCGTACCCATTAGCTCAGCAAGATGCCGAACACATTAAGAAACTGACCAAGGCCGACATGGTCGAGTTCTATCGCACATTTGTCAAACCTGGCTCGGCAACCCGAGCCAAGGTCTCGGTGCATCTGGTTGCGCAGTCCTCAGCCGAATCCGATGAGAAGATGACGGAGTTGCTCCAAAAGCTCAGCCTTGACAAGACGGCCGAGACCAAGGTCAAGGCAGCACTGCTACGTCCCGAGATGAGGAACGACACAGAGAACCTGAAGTTGTATCTCCAGAGCGAGCTGCAATTGCCTGAGGAGAAGGTTTCCACCGTCATTGCTGCCGCGCACGACCCGAAGACAGGTCCGAAGGTGAATGGTGTCAAGGAAGAAGACAAGGCTTCGGTCGACACGAAGCCCCAGATCATCACGGACGTTCGTGCCCACAGGGCCAGGCTTCAGGCCACATCGGGAGCCCAGGCTGGTAAAGATCTCAGCGAGTACCTGGATTTGGACGCCAAACTGTGAGCTCAGCCTTCGGGCTCTGACACGACGGAAAATGTGTCTGGGACACGGGCGACGGTGGCAGCCCAGGATGCCACGAACACTTTTCAATAACATCTGGTTCATGCTACAAGGCATGACATAGCGTAGCGGTGGACTATCTTGAGTATTACCCATGACTTGGTGGTGCCCGGAGTCGCGGGCACCAGCAAATTGATCAGAACGGAAAGGAGAAGAGTGAGAAGGAGCAACAGCAGCTCGATTAGCTGATGCACCTGGGCAGGATCCGGATTTGTTGCGGGTATCTAGATTCTTGATTCCAGAAGGAGCTTTGATCCAGGCGTGAGGAGCTTTCGGCGGCGAAAGAGGTATTCGGGCTGGAATCAACTAGACGGCACTTAGACTTGGCACCCTCGAGCATTGTCATTCGCGAATAGAGTGCAAATTTCTCTGTGCAGCGGCAAAGTACGTAATGGCTGGGGATTTCTCTAACCCAAGTACGTCTACTAAACAGGAGCGACCTTCCCAGCCAGACAGGTGTTGCCAGACAGGTGGTATGGCAGGGCCAAGGGAGAATAGGTTGGCTTAGTTATTTGCTTCATTTTTACGACATGTGAGACAGACGGAAGGGTGCAAGTACTTCCGGATTGTCACAATAGTACAACAATCAATCAATGTAGCGTTCTGGATGAAGCTCATGACATGACCAAATCGTCTTGCGAGAAATCTGTTGAAGGTTACATAGTGAACCGGCCGGTCCTAGGGTTGCCTGGTGCATTTGATGGAGTGCTGGCCGCATACGTCTTGTACCTGAGTGACGTGCAGGACGAGGCTCTCCCTGATCAGGACGTGGGTCTTTTTTCAACGCTAAGATACCGAAGGTATTGTACAAAGCTCCATTCACACACACACCAAAAAAAAAATCTCGGCACCAGTGGGTTTTTGTGGTCAAGTCGAGATGCCGCAAGTGTGTCAAAAACACCACGCAGAGATGGGCCTAGGGAGTAGCTACCCAGTGGTCAACGAGGATGTTTCGCGCAGTGACAGATCTCAATCGCATGCTTCAGGAGCTCCAAGTGACTTGCTTCAGGAGCTCAAGTGACTTGCTCCAGACAGGCACAGCAGGCAACTGTCAGTCGTAGGCCTCCAGGTCAGGTCGGCCACGACTCAGACCGCTGCCGATGGAGCTCGTTCTGTGTCGCCCTTAAGTACCTATTCTCCTGCCTGGATGAGGCAACTGATGTACCCAGCTACAGGAGGGGCTACCCGCTGGCAGGTGGCACTGGCACCGACCATGAGTCGTCCAGCTGGTTCCTCCCGCAGCGCCCCTCAAGCCTGGCCACTCCTGCTACTGCAAACCCCTCCACTGCACCTCCAAAAAATACATTCTCGCAAAACCTCTTACAGGCGCAACATTTCAGCTTTTGCTTCATCCGCACCCATCGAGTCTCTCTTATTTTTGCGGGCTTTTACGTCTCCTCTGAACTGGTCGAGAAGCATTGTCAGTCGACCAGTGGACCTTCTTGCGTCGAGACGAGCGGCGCCCAAATCTACGGTTGCCACGGCCTCTCCCTCCCCTCCACTGACGTACTTTCTTCACCGTCCACCGGAGGCTAAGTAGGTAGGTACCTTTTCTTGGTTGTCTCTGCCCACCACCACCCGCCCTTCTTCTGCCTCAAGGCCTGCCCCCCAGCGTCGTTCGCCGTCCTCCATAGCCTTGTCGCACAGCACACGCAAACCTCTTCCAAGGTCACCTCTTTTTTTTGCTGCTGATCTCTCGCCTCACCTGCTGATCAAGGCAGCACTGCCTCACCGACCGCGCGAAGCGAAGTGAAGCGACACTAACCAAGGTAGCCAGCTCCTCCATCGTCCTCCGGACTGTCTCCCCCGCGACTGCCTTTCCCAGGCTTGCACTCTTCGAGCTGCACAGGCAGCTCGCCATCACAACGTCTTCCTCAAAGAAGCGGAAGATTGCGCCGCGACACATAGATAACGACCAACTGCAACCTCACACCCCCTATCCCGACATAGTTTTGCCCTCCTGCGAACCCGACGACGACCCCGCCCTCTCTTTCACCTCCACCGCCTTCAGCGACAACCGCCACGGCTCGCCCGAGGTAGAGGTCGAAGCTCCCCCCGTGGCCGCTCCCTGGTGGCAATCCGCCGAAAGCAATCCCGCCTCTAGTCTGCCTGCCAGACTCCAGACTCGCCAGGTCTCTCTGACGTCGACCGAGTACCCCGATAGTGCTGCGTCTTCTCCCTCGGGCGTGGGCGACCTCTCCCTCGACAGTGACCGCGGCGGCTATACCTCTGGCACCGAGACCGGGCCTCTGCAGCCGCGTGACACGGCCCGAAGCCAGTCACCCTTCAACGTCTCCCGCCGGGCTATCATGGGAGGAGATGGGGACGCCCCTCAACGGTCTTCTTCACCCTTGAAACGACGCGCTTCCAGCATGGAACCACAGCAAGACACGGAGATGCGAGGGGCCCAGGAGGTGGATTCGGTCGAGTCCGCTCAGAGCACAGCACAGCACGGGTCAACGACTACTCGAGCCCAACTGCCGAGGGCCATGAGCATCGATTTGCCGGATGACCAGCCCGCTTCAGGCGTGCAGGTTGGGCAGATAGATAGAGTGATAGGTAACCACGGAAGACAGCTATTTGCGGCTAAGAGTGTATAGCTGACCACAGCGTGCAGAGCCACCACCTCTCGAAGAGCAGATTAAAACGATTCAGACACTGGTGCTCGGATTTGAGGAAACCGTCCCGAAGGTGGGCGATACCGCATACGTGGTGTCCACGTCATGGGTGCGTAAAGCCCAAGCCTTTGGTGACCCCAAGAACACAAAAGACGGTCCGTCAGATGAACGTCTTGGCCCTGTGGACAATTCAGACATCATCGACAGTATTTTAGCCACAGACGAGGGCCCCTTTGTGCGCCTGAGAGATGGAGTGAGCTTAGATGGCGACGTCTCGCTCTTCCCTGACGATGCTTGGACCCTAGTATCGGAGTGGTACGGCCTCTCCGACGGGCAGATCCCCATCATCCGCAAGGCTATCAACACCGCACAAGATTCGGCTCCTTCGGCGAATATCATTTTTGAGATCAACCCTCCCGTCTTCACCATTCATCGACTGTGGTCCAGTGGGAGTGAAATCCCCATTGAGACCAAGCTGAAGGACGCTGCACCAATCGTCGTGGTCAAAAGCACCTCTGCATCTTACAATGAGTTCTTCAAAGAGCTCAAGACGAAGACGGGCATTCCATTGGACCGCAAAATACGTGTATGGTCGATAGCACCCCAACCCGAGCCTTCTCAGATGGATGTTGAGCCTCACTCCGCGTTGACGCCGCCTGATTCGCCGGAACGCGAGCCTGCATCTCCCCCGGAATCGTGGAAGAAGATGCTGATAGACGTGCCGACGTACTTGGCCGTGGATTCGCTGCGGCGGAGTAGGGTCGATGCTATCGACAACACAGTCAATGCCAACTACAATGGGAAAAGCTCATTGTCTATGAAGGCTCTTGGGCAAAGCCAGATTCTGGTCCTTGACGAGGAAGTCGAGAGGGGGGAATTTGTGTCAACATACTTCAAGAGAAAGGGTAACGCCAAGAGCATCGCCTCTCGAGGAGTGGGAAATGGCAAGACGACTCAGTCCAGTGGCAACAACAGCGGTCGGAACAGCCCCGCACCATCAGCTCGCTCTGGTCCTATAACTCGCGGCAGGACGCAGCAGAAAAGGTCGGGCCGCAGCGTCGGAGCTGTCGGTCTGCAGAACCTGGGAAACACGTGCTACATGAACTCGGCACTTCAGTGTGTCCGGAGTGTCGAGGAGTTGACGAAGTATTTCCTCACAAGCGAGTATGAGAAGGAGTTGAACCGCGACAATCCTCTTGGCTACGATGGCCAAGTAGCCATCACGTATGGGCAGCTCTTGAAGGAGATCTACCGCGACTCAAGAGGGGCCGTCAGCCCTCGTGAGTTCAAGGTGACAATCGGTCGTTGTCGCAGCGCCTTTTCTGGATGGGGTCAGCAGGATACGCAGGAATTTCTCGGCTTTCTTCTGGATGGTCTGCAGGAAGATCTGAGTCGTATCAAGAAGAAGCCGTACATCGAAAAGCCCGATTCGACTGATGAGATGATCGGCAACGAGGAGGCCATTCGCAAAATGGCAGAGGAAGTCTGGGATATCACCCGAAAGCGAGACGACTCTGTCATCGCTGATCTGTTTACCGGCATGTACAAGTCTACACTTAAATGCCCCGTTTGCGACAAAGTCAGCATCACGTTTGACCCTTTCAACAACTTGACCCTTCCTCTGCCAATTGAAGATCTTTGGAGCGCCTCAGTTAAATTCTTCCCCCTCAACGATCGTCCTGTACTTGTCGAGGTCGAACTGCCAAAACACAGCGCTGTTGAACTGCTCAAGAAGGCCATCTCTGACCGGACTGGTGTTCCCGTCAACCGTTTGATTGGCGCAGAAGAGTTCAAAGGAAAGTTTTTCAAGATTTACTCCGACAACGAAGACGCTTCGGAAGCCATTACCGGCAGCGATGTCGCCACCTTCCACGAGCTGGAGTCGTCGCCTACCAACTGGATCAAGTCTAGTGGCCACCGCTCCATGCTAGACATTGACGAGGAGCCTTACGTCGACCCACGCACCGAACACCTTGTCGTCTCTGTCCTGCATCGGAAGCAGGCTGCTGGTAACCGATATAGCCGGGATGACAGCGCTTCGCCTCCTCACTTCATCGTTCTGACGAGAGAAGAGGTAAGAGGCACCGACGGGTCTGGCAATCGTTCCTGCTAACATTGAACAGGCCAACAATGAGGATGTTATCCGGCGCAAGATTCTTGAGAAGATCGCCACATTCACTACCGCTGCCGGTTTCGCCGATTCCGACGATGGGCTTGATCCTGAGACGGTTGTCACGACACAGTCCGATACCGAGATGGGTGATTCTAAAGTCGTTGCTCAATCAGTCGAGGGCGAGGACGACATCGTCGAAGTGTCGATGAAGGACAATGGCGAGCCAACTGCTGCTACGACCGCCGCTGGTAACGACCGCTTGCTGAAGCGGTTTGAGTCGCGTCGACCCAAGTGGGCGACGGACTCACAGTCTTATCTGCCACCCCAGCTCCAGAACCTTTTTGAACTGTTTTACTTCGGCGGTGAGAGCAGCGACATTGTGCCTTCTGGCTGGAACAGCCTTGACCGATCTCTACACAAACTATCATCCAGAGCGCCGCCACCTGAGTCATCAAGCGACCAAGATGAGTCGAACAGCCCGGGCACCTGGACGAACGGCGGTGATGGCGACAGCGACAACGACAGCACTAGCGACCTGCAATCCTCTGCCTCAACTCCGGCACAGACTCGCATGAATGAAGAGTCGAGCGAGGAAGAGGCAGTCGTTAAGCCCCCCAAGGTGAGCAGCTCAAAGAACCCCCACATGCACTGTACTCGCGAAACTTTTGGGGTCTACAGCTACGACACTGTTCACGGGATGTTGATGATTGACACCTATGTAGGCTAGTGTTCGAGCATCCCAGCGACCTAATGGTCAGAAGCCTGGCGCTAGCAAGAAAAAGATGAAGCCTCACAAGACTTACGGCAAAAAGGGCAACAAGCGCCGTCACAGGGAGATGAAGTCGCGCGAAGTGCGCATGCCCGATGTTGCGCCGCAACCCTCACCCACGGATGATGTGCCCGGCCCCCTGGTTCGCTTCGGAGAGGGTATCGTTGTCGAATGGGACAGCAATGCCTGGGACGGTATCTTCGGCGATACAGATCACGGTAACGACGATCTGCGTGGAAGTCCCACGTTCAACGACCTCGAGCGCCTTCGCGATCCAAACATGGAGCTGAAGCGGAAAAAGCGCCAAGCTCGCCGTTCCAAGGGCATCACGCTGGAGGAGTGTCTGGACGAGTTCGAGAAGGCCGAAATTCTATCCGAGCAGGATACATGGTATTGCCCGCGCTGCAAGGAACATCGGCGTGCAAGCAAGAAGTTCGACCTGTGGAAGACGCCTGACATTCTCGTTGTGCATCTCAAACGATTCAGCTCTTCCGGCTACCGGCGAGACAAGCTGGATGTGCTAGTTGACTTCCCCGTTGAGGGCCTCGATTTGCGGACACGCGTCTTGCATCAGGAAGATGGCAAGGAGGAGGTGTATGACTTGTGCGCCGTCGACGAGCACTTTGGTGGCCTCGGCGGTGGTCATTATACGGCGTGGGCCAAGAACTTCGTCGACAATCAGTGGTATCACTTCAATGGTCAGTTGCAACACCGGAACGCATGACTGAGCAGTTTCACTGACCAAATGCAGACACGAGCGTCTCGGCTGGCAAAGCAGAGAGCTCCGTCACTAAGGCTGCGTACCTCTTATTTTACCGCCGGCGTTCCGCTGTGCCCCTGGGTGGGCCCCGCTTCCGCGAAATCTGCGAGAAATTTGACAGCGGTTCGGAAGAGGAGGAAGATGAACAAGACGCGGCAGATTCGGGGGAAGGCCGGCGTCTCGGCGAGGGCTCCTCCCCAACTGGATCGTCGAGACTTGGGACCGGAGCCGGAGCAATTCGCCTGCCAGCAGGTCGTGGTTTGGCTCATAACACCATGTCGACGCGCAGCGACGACGGTCTGCCCGACTACAACAGCAGCGAACGGGTCCACAACAGCATCGAGGACGATGCTATCGGCATGGCGGGCGCTCCCGCGAGCCGGCTGTCTCAGACGTTCACCGGCAAGCAGACGTGGTCATTCAGCGGCATCGGCGAGGATGGTGACACCACGGATACGCTCCAGCTCGGAGGCTACGCCAGTGACGAAGCACAGGCCGACTCGGACGTGCCGGACCTGACTGGCCGTGGCAGCGAGTCCCCCTTGGTCGATGACCTGCTTCCCCAAGAAAGCGACGACGTGTTCGGGCCTCAGGAGCAGGGGCCCCTGCCCGGCAGCGCCGAGACCTGGAGTCTCAAACTTGATAATGGGGTGAATGCTGTGCCGCCGAGGGATGACGATGATGACGCTGCGTCGTCGGAGGCCGCTGAGATTCACATTTCCGACGACAGCCAGGGTCAGTCTGATGTTAAGTCCTAGATACTCTCCGCACGCCAGGGGAAATGGGAATGGGAGTAGGACAGCGTCGTCGGTTGCATAGGTGGGAGTAAAAAGAATTATGCCTGATGTACTTAGCAAACCATGACAACGGTGGGGCAGCTCGGTTGGCAATGAGAAACGGACAATGGTGGTGTGGTACGAGACCAAAGACAGCAACGTACCGGAGCTGGGAGATGAATCCGGTGTTGTTTAGGTATGGGAGCGGTAACCACGGGCATGGCAGCATCAAGGTGCGGTAGGGCATGGTACATACACCCATTGGCAAGCTGGGTGTCGATAGAGCTTAGAGGACACTCGTGGCCTTGGCTGAACGGAGTAGGGCGGGCGGGAGAGGAGGGGTCCATGGGATCGGGTGACTGGGGGCGGTCTGATAGGAGTTTGTCTTTTTATCTCTCTCTCTCTCTTCATAACCAGACCTCTCGTTACTACAATCCTCGTTTATCGAGTATTCTGTCTACGCCTTGTCGCTTGGCTCCAGATCTCCCATTGGATGTTTCTGCAAGCAAGAATGCGCCACGACAAATACTGTCCCTTCCACCACATGGCGGGCACAGTCCGATAATTAGGCTGACATCGTGTCTTGATACACGCCATGGCCTTCTCAGCCACGGCACATCTTCCACGGGATCATCCACGATACTTGCGCCCTGGTAGATGGGATGATCGGGAGAGGTAAGCGGCGCACAGCCACTGGATAAAAGCAAGAAAGGCATCACGAGAGTGGAGCTGTCTTCCAGAAAACCATTCGGAAGGGTGTCCGCCTCCCTGCCTCTGTCATATTTCTCCCCGTCAATGTATCGACGTGACTTCAAGCTCTCAAACTGAAGAATGCAAAGTCCCAAGCCCGCTCTCAAGACTTACGTAATCCAGGCTTCCAGAAGGCGAGACTTGTGAAGCGTTGGTGACACGCAGAGGTGCGTGTGCGGCACACGCACACAGACATACTAGTACATGGTACACGAAGCGCCCAACAGACGAACACAGATATGGACGGGGTAGGGAGAACGGAGGGGTGAAAGACAGGGGAGGAGGACAGAGGCTCCATAGCCATGGCGGCGCCGAATCAAGAGGCGTGCTACCGACGTGCATTCAGATCGAGCCAGTCAGAGGGTTTCTTCTGGAAGCTCAAGTAGTGTACCGCGTTGTCGTCGAGGCCTGGTTCGATCCAGATGGTCATATATTTGACTCTCGGCAAAGCGTTCGCCGTACATGGGATGAGCTGGCGTTCGCTCTCGAGGGGGAGGCGCGCGCGCCTGTTGGAGATCGACGGGGGGCGTGGCTTCGAGGCTGAGACGCGAGGACAGGGCAACAAGCTTCGACTGTGCGGCCGCCGCAGCCCGAGGGTGCCGATCAAGGTTGCGGGGGACACAAAGAGACGAGATGGAAGTTGGACTGGTCTATCTGATTGAGATCTGTGATGCGCGTTGGATGGAAGTTTCCGGCCAGCAGGGCGAATCGCCTGGCTAGCACGTTTTTAAAGTATCATCGTCATGGTCGCTCATTCTTTTGGGACGCCATTCCCAGTTCCGGGCAACTCGGGCCTCAACCGCACCTCAGCGGCCATGGCCATAATCTACCTATGTAGATGGAATGCCGATAGGGGTCCAAGCGAGTTGGGCGGTTCAGGGGGCCCGATGCAACCATCAGGCGGGCCTCGACCAAGCAATGGCCCCCTTTGCGCATTCTGCGTCGGAAAGGGCGTTCGAAGAAGCAATGGCAAAATCTCGAGAGAAAAGCAAAGCGAGGTCGATGGTAAGGTTTCCTTAGCGTAGCTGAAGTATGGATCAAGGCGCACATGTCACGACCTCCTCGTCGGTGTCGGTGCCGGTGCCGCGGAAAGGCGGAATTGGGGAAATCAGCAGCGAGGCCAGAGCGAAACAGTCCCGGGGGTCGTGGCAAGGCACGAGATTCAGAACCCGAACCAGAACAGACCCAGACCCAGACCCAGACCCAGAAGCAAAAACACCAGAACTTGGAGCATGGATGGGCAACGCGATGAATGCTATCTGGAGACATGCAGCACGTGCGTCTCAGATAAATTTGCGTCATTCCACCCCCGTCTGCTCGCGAGAGGGGCCAAACCTCGATCACACGACAAATTTGTCCGAGATGGCCAGCAAGGTGAGTCGCCATTTTGTAAGGGGGAATGCCGGATCACGAAATGCTGCTGTCAGCAGAGACGACTTAGGAGGGTCAGGCTGGCTGCGGGCGTTTTCAAGGGCGAATGCACAGGGAAGATGTCACCATCCCGAAGAAGGGCCCAGGGTGCATCCGAGGGTGGGGGGTTCAGGAGGAGGTTCAACCAAAATACATGTGGGCTACTCGCGTGCGAGCCTGCTCAACTCGCCGACAAGGGCCTCCGATATCGCGGGAACGGCGTCGAAGGAACGTGGCATCTTGAAAGGTGTCAGCCTCGGCCGGCGAACGAGGGAGCAAGCGCTACTGGCCATGATGTGGACGCACAGCGGGACATGTTGTCGGTTCGAGAAGGTCGACCGGTGGTGCCTGAGGGGGGTTGCGCGCGCGGGCGGGATGTGCGGGGAGGTTTGTGGTTCCTGTTATCCTTTTCCAGGGACAAGCTCAGGAGGAAGGCCTGAATGTGGAAGGTGGACAGCGGGGGGCATCGGGCTACGACTGGTTCGCGATACAGAACAACCCGCCTACCGACGCCGATAGGCGTGCTTGTGCTGCAGACTGGAGGGCTTGGGGCGGCTGGCCCTGGGGGCTGGTAATCTGGAGAGCGACGATCTGATGTGCTGCAGCTCGGCTTGCGCAGCTAGTGCAAGTGACGCGACGAGGATAAGGCCTATCATTGGGCTAGTCGGCGGCCTTTCTCTTGTGGGAGAAGCTGCGTGATGTGATGCCATGCAAGATGCCATGCTGCCAGGCTTGCCAGGCTAGGTGAATGGAAGGAGAGATGGACGAGTTGCCGGATGAACAAGAGATAGACGTATGTCCGTTGCCACGATGTGACGAATGTAACACGGGGAGGCTGGCCCGGCCTATCTGGTCTTCGGAAGGAGGGGATGGCGAACGTCAACTGCCGATGGATGGTACGGTACCATTTCTTTTCGCTGTGGATGCGTGATGCACTGCATTGCTTGCTTCCTGCCTCCGCGCCATCACATCTCCGCAGTTGCCACAGGCGGCGGCGACGACAACAGCGTCGACGAGCAGGGTATAGGTGGGTGGTTCCTTGTGGCGCCGGCCACAAATGAAGAAGAGACGGTGCGATGCCTGTACTCTTCTTGTCTGGGCGAGTGGAGTGTCCGAGGGGGTGTCGAACAAGTCAAGTATGATTGGTCTTTGTGGACAGAGCCTCCTTCGAGTCACGGTGGTCGAGTCGGGGGTGTTCAGTGCAGTGCGGCACCTGCGGTACCTGGAGAGCTGAGGTTTTGGTGTTGAGCGAGCTCTCGCAAGACTGGCGACCCGACTGTCAGAGCAATTATCAATGCCGAAATGATAGTGCAGCCGGGATGTCGGGTTGACTTGGGTACGTCGGTTGAGCGTTTATCGGTGGCCAACTTGGTAGGTTTGCTTCTTGATTAGACTGACACTGGCGCCGGGCTTGCGGTTCTTCGAGGGGGTACCCCTGGTCCACTCCACGACGGCAAGCAGACTCTGGATTCGGAAGAATCGTCGTGTGTTCGGTGATCAACCAAGCCCTAGTGAGTGGGAGGGTTCGAGTTTGTTTGTTGGAGTTGATGGGTAGAATGGTTTAATGGATCGGTTCTGTAGGTACTGTAGGTAGCGAGTTGGTCTTTGAAAATGTGACAGATGCCGGGAAGCAGGGCGCTGGCCGTCCATCCACGGAGGAACGAGCGAGCGTGGTGTGTGATGTTCTCCAGCTTGTCAGCTGGAAGACCCCCCCCCCGGCCCTAGCAGTCCACCAGCGGCGTACTATGTACAATAGTCCGAAAGATGCACCCCCTCTGTAGGTAGGTACAAAGGTACATGTTGTACAGCTCCATCGTCAGTAAGGTTAGAGGATGGGGGTTTCTCCCACTTCTGGTCTCGCGACCGGATCCAAGCACCCAGCCAGCATTCATCCCATATTCTTCTCTGCCTACTTTACCTATTAGGGAGCATTTGACATCAGCGGGTCGTGCTGAATTGACAAACTACGTCCTGTCGCTCATCGCACCCGTTTCCGGCACGCGTGGCGAACGCGGCTGTCCAATTCGCTGGCAGTGAATCAGGATCTACACACCCTGGACTGTTCTTTTTCGGGGATTCCAGGGAGGGGGCGAAGAAAAAAAAAAAGAGGGCCATCAGAGACACTGCAAAAGACGTCAGCTGCGACAGGCCACATTGGACTCCTCGTTGCGCCTCATCGAGTCGCAGGTCGCAGGGTCACAGCTGTGATAGGCAAGGCATCTGTAGGACAGACCACGCGCAGCACACGAGACCTACCTTGCCTACCCGGCTCATCCTGGGACTATCGTTGCGATATTCCCAAACAGGACACGAGCATGCCGACCAGTGACGACGCACGCCTGACGAAGCAGTCCAGCACCTAGCATCCCAGCACATCACATCAGGCCCAGACGAGCCCTGCAACGTCAAAAAGCAAAGACGACCGAATGCTGACGATGGGCCTGCTTACCACTGGGCCGAAAACCCACACCTCTTTGTTGACCGACTCCATAAGCTTGGTCTCCAATTTTCCTTGATCGCCAAATTGTTCCTTGCGGCTTCGAGAAGGAAAATTTGACGGGGGCCCCGATTGCAGACATTGCTTAGGGGGGTTTTGGACACACCAGAAGAGCTGGAAGGGGGTTCAAAGCGGAGGAACGCCCGTTCGTGACCTGGATTGGTTTCTTCGCGGGGCGCGCTGCCGACGATATGAGATGAAGAGCAAGGAAGCTGACCCCCCTTCTTGCACAGGGCAACCACTACATGTAGCCTTCGATGGTCCTGCATTCCCGCCATTGTCAACCTACCGGCCAGCCCACCCAGTGCGCCACAGCCACAGAGAT